CCTCTTTATAAAAAAATAATAAAATATATTTTAAAAAAAATGAATCATGTACTTAGTCGAAACTGGTTTGGCTCAGTTGATAGAGCGTCGGCCTGCGGACTGAAAGGTCCCAGGTTCGGTTCCAGTCAAGGGCGTGTACCTTGGTTGCAGGCACATCCCCAGTGGGAGGTGTGCAGGAGGCAGCTGATCATTGATGTTTCTAACTCTCTATCCCTCTCTCTTTCTGTAAAAAAATCAATAAAATATATATATATTTTTTAAAAAAAACCCTGTGATTCTGTAGAGCAGCCTCGGTTCTTGATACTGCTCCAAGCTCAGCTGGCTTTATGGCCCTCTCTGGATGGGCCTGCACACCTCTTGATGGCTGCCATTCTGACACCTTCTATGTGTCAGCCTCCGTGCTCAGCACTTTCACAGCTATCCCCTAACCTAACACCTCACAGACAGAGGTATCATTCTCCCTATTTTACAGATAAGGAAACTAGGCCCATGATGGTTAAATAATGCATGTACAGTATGTTACTTTTGCTGATACCAGGACTTGAATCTAGGTCTGAGTCCATGCTCTAAACCAGTGGTTCTCAACCTTTCTAATGCTGCAACCCTTTAATACAGTTCCTCATGTTGTGGTGACCCCCAACCATAAAATTATTTTCATTGCTACTTCATAAATGTAATTTTGCTACTGTTATGAATCGTAAATATGTTTTCTGATGGTCTTAGACGACCCTGCTAGCGTTTTTTCCCCTCTACAGAGAACAGCTGTTGTAGAGCCCAAAATAATTTTATGGTTGGGGTCACCACATGAGGAACTGTATTAAAGGGTCGCGGCATTAGAAAGGTTGAGATCCACTGCCTAACCCATGAAGCTGTACTAACCCAGGTAATGTGGCCTCACACTAAGGCCTTGTACACTGCCCTCTCCCATTCCCTCCCATCCTCAACCTAACTTGACTACCTTTTGCTTGTAAGAGCTTGACACTTCCCTAGTCAAAGAATGTCCTCCGTTGTACAATGCTGTTTGCTTTGTGAGTGAAGGGAACAGGATCAAAGATATCCACCAAGCACACAGACAAAACATGTATTTGAAGATAACAGATCCCCTGGTCGAGGAGAGCCTTGTGAGAAGACACTTTTATTTTCTGTTACCGAGCAGCCTTTGGGCAATAGCTGTTGAGGGGAAGCTACAACATGGAGGAAGGGATGGGGTGCTTTCCTGCCCTTCCTCAAAAGAAATCCGAGCAGAAACTTGGGTTTGGCCTTAGCCAGTTTTCTCGTGGTTAGAATTTTGGCCCATGAGCTGAAAAGTTGTGGGTTCGATTCTGGTCGGGGGCATCATTAGAGAAAAAAGAAATTTGCATTCTCCATACCATTTAGAATGAACAGATAAAGGAATGTGGGTCCTTTATACCAAGGCCTCTGCAGACAGACACAGTGAGCACCTGTTATTCCCCAGTAGGCACAGGGTCTGGTCCTGATTGAGATGGGCAGGGAGACTCAATCTCTCAAAAATGCTCCAAAGAGCCCAAACTGGTTTGGCTCAGTGGATAGAGCATTGGCCTGCGGACTGAAGGGTCCTGGGTTTGATTCTGGTTGAGGGCATGTACACTGGTTGCAGGCACATCCCCAATAGGGGGTGTGCAGGAGGCAGTTGGTCAATGTTTCTCTCATCGATGTTTCTAGCTCTCTATCCCTCTCCCTTCCTCTCTGTAAAAAATCAATAAAATATATATTTTTAAAAAATGGTCCAAAGAGCAGCCCCTCAGCCATTCAGTAGGAACTCTGCAGACTGTTCCTGATGAGGAAAGTTATATAAAGCACTGCTCTAGCTACAGCCCAGCTATGGTGTTGCCAACATCAAATATCCAGCAGAAAGGAGCAATCATCAGCTTTCACTTTCTAGATAAACTTCCATTTATTTTCACATCTGTGGCTGAACCATAGGTTCACCTTATGGTGACAATGAAAAACCTTGTAAGCACAGTAAATCTGGTTACAGTCAACACCTAGATCCACTTCAGCGAGATGGTGCCCATTTATGAGATAATACAGATTTTTTAGTCCAGAGGGCAGCCTAATGAGCATGTTTCTGGCTTTTCCTCTTTGCTATCAAATCTGCTCATGACACCCAATCCACAGGTACTTCTTTAACTGCCGAGTTACTGCCTTGTTTCGCTCGGGAGCCCTGGTTGGATCAAACTTCTCCATACACTGAAATCTTTTCCACTGATCCATTTTACTTACCCATTCTTGAATTTCAGGCAAACTCTCCAATTTGGAGATGGCCTGGAATTCTACCAGGTGGAGGGAGAGACCAGAATGCACCATAGTTGAACATCTAGTGTGTACCAGGGCCAAAGATTAGGAAAACCCCTACCTCTGTCTTTCTGGCATGGTCCTGCCCACCCATTTCACTCTGCTTCATTGGTATCTGAACTGTGTTTATTTCTTCCCATAGATTGGGATCCTGCTGTCTACAGTTCCTTGAAGAAGGGACTGTGGGATCTATCTGTGGCATTTTAAACCACAGGTGTTTTTGTTAGTAAGCTCCATGTCCTCAGTAAATCACTGAGTAAGAAGAATTTTCCATATTACCTAGTCCAACATCATACCAAGAATTCCTTCTCCAGCACACTGTGGTTGAATGCTGTTCAGAAAAGGGAACATACCACCTAAAAGTAGTACTATTAATTCTTCTCCCTTTTAAAGATCAGGGTGAAAACCAGAGCTGGATCTCACACTCAAGTTCCTAGTGGGTCACCTGTGAAACTAGAACTCCCAGAACCCCCCCAAGTCCCTCAGAGTATGAGGCTAGGTCCTAGTTAGAAAGCTCCCAATATGCCAGCATTCAGTCCTCATCTGTCTTGGTTTGTTCCATAGTCCTGGGTTTCTTCATCACCTTCACACTCTTATGGTCTCACAAACATTTCTTAGAGGTCTCCCTCAATTCCTGGTACTGTGACTCTCAGAGTAGATGCTATCACTGCGATTATCCTGAAGAGCAGCATGTTCAGACAGAGCCTTCCCAGAGGCAAAGCTGGCTGGGATACTGAAGCTTTTCCCTGGTGTGGTTATGCACAACCAGGCAGGCTAAGGGCGGTGCTAGGTGATAAGGAAAAAATGGCTCCTTCCCTTACTACTTCATCAACAAAGTGTCCTAATTACTTATAGACCTTGTTTCCAGGCATCTCAGGAAGGTCAGGGGAAACAAAAGCGTGTGGATATAATCAGCTTTTCTACCTAAGACTTAGGGTTTCTGTATTCTCTGCCTTCCACCTCAGGCTCCAAGCAGGAGTAACATAACAAATCAAACTGATTTCAATCAAGTTTCAGCAGGAATGTCTCTGCTTTGATTTTGCTTCTTATTCGGCTTTGCCTGGATAGAAGCCAGAGATAGAGATAGGATTTTGGCAAAAGCAGCCATGTATCACAAGATATAAAAAATGTTTTTTCTTAAAAGCTTTTTCTCTTTCACCAGCCTCCCTTCGCAGATGAAAATATGAGATCTGTAAAGGAAAAGAAAGGGACTTGCACCCAATTGCAAAGCCACTTAGGAGCAGCACAGGCTCAGAAGACTCCCAGGGGAATGAATGACCCCGACCAAAGGACACATGGTAGCCAAGGTCCCTGAAAGCAGAACCAGCAGGAAGAGGCTATCCCTGTTTGCCTCTGGTGCTCCGCTCTCAGTGACCTATGAAGTCCCTCAGTCCGTCCACTGCCAACTCGGGAATGGCCAGATGGGTGAATATTTTCTAATGGCTCAAGAAAGTTGCATTATCACACCAGCACCTCACTACTGAGATGAAAGCTGGGAGTGCCAGTGCACCCAGCTTTTCTGAAATTCCGTAATGCTTCTGGAAAGTGATTTTTTTTTTTTTCTCTGCTGAGGACTGTCAAGAATATTAGACACTAGAAATCGAAAAGCCATCTTATTGGCTTATAAATAACAAGAACTGGAAGTAAGTACCTCTAAGAAACGTGGCTCAGACATAAATGTTAGGCTGTTCTGTCATTTCTCTGCGATTTCTGGCTTTTATAGCTGGGGCTGAGAACACGGTTCCAAACATTTTAAACCAGGACCTCGGCAGAGGTTTCCAGCAGTTTAAATGCCAGTGAGAGGCTTAATGCTGCAAATCAAGCTGGTGAAAGTTAAACACTGTTCTCCTTAAGAAGCTTTTAAAGTCAGATTTCTTGCTCACCCAATATTTAACAAAATGTTCTTTAAAAGAATTAGTCTAGAAAGGCCATATTGAGCTATCGTTTGGGAAGAGGCAGTCCATTAGCACACGAGTGGACTTTAGCTAGTATTGGAAGGAGCAGGAGTATGGACTGAGGCTTGAGCACTTTCTTCTAACAACTGTCTTATCATCAGGGGTGTAAGGCTCTGCCTCAGATGGACTTCAAGCTTTGGAGGTTCTTCCCATGTACCTGTCTCTACCCAGAGCTGCAATCATTCTTAGTCTATTACCCTGTGATGAATTACCAAAGGCCAAATCATGTTTTCCTCTCTTTTTGCAACTTCTGCTTAGGTCTCACTTTTTTTTTTGAAAAGATGGGGATGCTGGACTCTTTGTTTCAAAATGTGCTAATATTGGCCTGGCCAGGATGGCTCAATGGTTGAGTCTGACCTAGGAACCAGGAGCTCATGGCTTAATTCCTGATCAGGGCACATGCCTGGATTGTGGGTCCATCCCCAGTGAGAGACATGCAGGAGGCAGCCAATGAATGATTCTCTCTCATCATTGAAGTTCTCTCTCTCTTCCTTCCTCTCTGAAATTAAAAAAAAAAAAAAAAAAAATGTATGCTAAAAAAAAAAAAAAAAAAAAAAAAAGTGGTATACTGGTAATGTTGTGAAGTTCCCAAACTCAAGCATGTCTCTAGTCAAGTGTACAGGACCCCAAATGCATCAATGTGTCAATCAATAGTGATTACTTCCAGAGTGGAGGAGCTCAAGTCCCTTTCTCTTGTCCTGGGTGAGCATGGATAACCGGGAGGGAGATTCACAAAACTCCCCCTCCACTACCTTCCCCATACCACTGATTGGCCTCTAGACCTTCCGTGTTAACGCCAAGGCCAGAGGTTTCGAGCCCCGTTAGGAGAGGACCCGGTGGGTCAGGCGGCTGTCCAGATGGGTCACTCTCACCCCCACAGCCTCCGTTGTGGCCTGACCGTAAGTGGTCCTTAAGCGTCTGCTTGTAGCGGAAGCTCCTGCCGCAGTAGGCACAGGGGTAGGGCCGCTCGCCCGTGTGGATGCGCTGGTGCTTCATGAGGTGGTGCTTGCGGATGAAGGTCTTGCCGCACTGCGTGCAGCTGAAGGGCCGCTCTCCGGTGTGCAGCCGCCGGTGGTTCAGCAGGTGCTCCTTGCGCATAAAGCTCTTACTGCAGTCTGTGCACGGGTAGGGACGCTCGCCTGTGTGGATCATCTGGTGTCGGATCAGGGCTGAGTGGCCATTGAAGTCAATGCCACACTGGGGGCAGGAGAAAGGCCGCTCCTGCGCATGCCCGCGCTGGTGGAGCAGGAGGCTTATTTTCAGGCTGAAGCTCCGGCTGCACTGCGTGCAGCGGAAGGGCCTCTCACTGGCATGAGCTCGCCGGTGGTTGGTGAGGCGGGCCTGGTCTGCAAAGCGCTTGGGGCAATCAGGACAGGGGAAAGGGCGCTCAGTGCTGCTGTGGACCCGTAGGTGGTAGGTGAGTCTTGACGGGTGAGTGAAAGTCCTGGCGCAGTGTGGGCAGGTGGGGGGCGTCTCACTGGCATGGGTCTGGGGGTTGCTGCCGAGCTCAGCTTGCTGAGAAAAGTGCTTGGGACACTGGGCACAGGACAAGGGGTGCTCACTAGTGTGGCTACACTGGTGGGTCAGCAACATGTCCTGGCTGAGGCTCTTGCCACAGTGGTGGCATGAGAACATCTGCTCTCCAGCAAGGGGTGGCAGGGGGTAGCTACCCAGCTGAGTGAACGTCACTTGTCCCTCAGAGGCTTCTGCCAGGTCAGTGGCCGGATGTACAAAAGGTGCCATGGATGCAGGTTGCTGGCCTTTGAAAGCCACATCTGAAAAAGTATCCTTTGCTGCTGCTGGTGGTGGAGAAGAGAAGGGGACAGGAACCTCGGGGCACAAGGAGGCTCTGGCGAGGCCTTCGGCTTTGATGACAAGCTGCTCATCTGAAAGAAAGGACTCAGAGTCACACCCGTCACATTCTCACAGCAGCGGAGCGTTCCTCCCCAGCTCTCACAGACTGCTCTCAGCTCTCAGTTGGCTCCAATAAGAAGCTCAGTATAGGTCTGAGATAATCATCAAATCATCCATGGTCCCTGTGGCAAATCACCAGAGAATTTACTACTGAACATCTTCAATTCTCCCCGTTTGAAGAGGAACAACCTTGACATCAATCTTCCCACCATTACTTTCATTATGTTCCTCCTCTGCTCACAAACTTTGAGTTTGCTGCCTATTGTGACAGGCCTAAACTCATGTATTAATCTACTCCCATTCCTCTGTATTCTGCCAGATAAAGCCTTCCTGGTTGCTAGCTCTCTCTTTACTGACCCTGAGAATGAAGTACACATTTTTGCTTCACATCTCCGCTTACTCTGTCCTTCCTTTTGCAGAATGTATCCACCCTCTTCCAAATTATACCCAGCACTTCACACCAATCAACTAAGGCCCAGCTCTGGCTTCATCCTTCTTTAGACCTTATCTAAAAATGTAAACCAAAACTGATGCATATTCTCCAAACTTCTCATTTCTTGAATATAAGTCCCACTCACCCCTGACACTTAACAACAACAGGCAGGCCTAGTACTGATGTGTGCCCCCATTATAAATATCTTGAAGAATAGAATCTGTCTTATTTCCTAGATTCTAAAAGAACACAGGGCATAGAGGCTATTAAAAATCAGAATGCATTGTTATGTAAACAATCAAGTACCATCTGATCTTGAGATTCTCTTCTATAACTCAGATAGCAAAATAAAGATGGTGCTACCTACCTCAGAAGGAAGATAATTTGCTGTTTTCCTTCATCATTTCTCCTGAGGTCCAGCTCTTTATTGATAGTCCCATTTGTGGTTCCCCAATGACCTTTTTGTCCCCACTGCTCGCCTTTCCCCTTTTTGTTCTATCCTTTCTCCGTGATCTTTAAATGTTCTTCTGTCTTTCCCATCCTCCTATTTTCAGTCTATCTGCATGCACTCATTTTTCTTCCCCTGACAATTCTCATTTGTCTTTACACGTAAGAGTGTGTTTTCTTGCCTGGCCAGCGTGGCTCAGTGGTTGAGCATCGACCTATGAAACAGGAGATCACAGTTTGATTCCTGGTCAGGGCCCGGGGAAGTGGGCTTGATCCTCAGTGTAGTGTGTGCAGAAGGTAGCCAATCAATGGTGTTTCCTATCACTGATGTTTCTATCACTCTCTCCTTTCCTCTCTGAAATCAATATTATTTTTAAAAAGAGTGTGTTTTCTCACTTTAAATGTATCTTAATTTGATTTGTTTCATTTCTCACTTATTGGAGTATGTCATTTTCCCCTTTTCCCATTCTTCTCTCACTTCCTTGCCTCCACAACCCATTTCAAAGCTGTGTCTTCAGTCAGTCCTGGCACAGCTGGACTTGGGCGTGAAGGTCTCTTCTATTCATTACTCACCAGCATAGGGACCCTTGTATATGTCACTCTGCTTGGTCTCCTGTGGGGGCCCAATCTGGGGCTCTTCCTCTTGTTTAATCCAAGACAGAATATCTGATGTTGAAATGACAGGCTCTGTTTGTAGGGGGAAAAGAGAATGGCCTTCAGGGACTTGAATCAGAAAATGAAAATAATCATGTTGGTTTGTTAAATACTACACATGGTTCCCAAATTTAACTATAACAACAATATGGAATCAGCCTTTTAAAAATGCTTACAACACCTAAAGAACTAATTCAAAATGAAGCCAAATTTATTTATTTTTACATGATGTACCCAGCTTGATTCACTATTTCCAGTGGGCCCATTTCATTAATTTTTTATTTTGGAGACGACACCCATAAATAATCTAAAGTCACCCAAGTCAGTATGGTACAGTGGACAGAGCGCCGGCCTGCACACTGAAGGGTTTGACTTCAGTCAAGAGCTCATGCCTGGGCTGCAGGCTCAGTCCCCAATAGGGGGCATGCAGGAGGCAGCCGATCAATGATTCTCTCTCATCACTGATGTTTCCCTCTGTCCCCCCCTTCCTCTCTGAAATCAATAAAAATATATTTTCCAAAAAAAGAATCTAAAATCAATAGTACCTTCCATTTCATTAGCATAATTACTTTTGAAATATTTCCATTTTTTGTATCATAGCTTTTTTATGAAATAAGGAATATTCTTTCCGTTTAAGCAGAGAGGGCCCACAGAAGTTACATCTATATAATAAAGAAGTAATATGCTAATTGGTCCTAATGGTGTCACAGTCACGACCAGGCTGACCAGGCTGTGTGTGCACAACAGCTGGTGGGCGGGGATGGGGGTGGGGACTTGTGCCACCAGGACACGAGGCTGCTGAGGCCTCCCTTTTCCTCCCCTCCCTTCCCTCGTGGAAGCATACACAGGCCCCTGGCCTAGAGCAGGGCATCAGGTCAGGGGCAGGGCCTTAGTGGAGAGCTCTTAGCACTCCTGCACCAAGGTCTGAAGGCACATAGGCAGTTAGGGGGTTTAGGCCAGGAAGGGAGAGCAGATAGGCAGTTAGGGGGATCAGGCCAGGTGGGGAGAGCAGATAGGCAATTAGGGGGATCAGAGAAGGAGGGGAGAGCAGTTAGGGCCATAAGGCCAGCAGGGGAGCAGTTGGGGGCATCAGGCAGGTAGGTGAATGCTTATGAGCCAGTGATTCTGGATTGTGAATGGGATCCCAGAGTAGAGAGGGAGCAGGCCAGGCTGAGGGATCCTCCCCTCCCTGGCCGCATGCACAAATTTCATGCACTGGGCCACTAGTAGATGATAAATATTCATGGTAAGTACCATATGTTCAATGATTTATTTTAAAATACGGCAGGGGGAAAAAAGCAAAGAAACAAGATTGACCAACAATATTTTTCTTAAATGTTAATTAAAAAACAAATATATTTCCAGAACTACAAAGTTAAGTTTAAATACAGACTTGACTCCTCAGAAAGCTATTTTTCAGATTCCCAATTCTAGGCTCTCTCTAAGACATCATATTACCTTTGCCTATTCAATTACATAGGTCTTTATTTCCTGAATGCTGGGGTGAGGGAAAATAGTGTATATAAGTCCCTCAGAACTTGGAGGTTTTTTCAGAAAAAAAAGAAAAAAGAAAAAAAAGAATAGCCTCCAGAAGCTTATAACATGCCTCATCTGGTCAGCAAGAAACAGCTATACTTGCTATTCCAGCCGAGGCATATATAACCTTTCTTGGCCTAAAAGACCAAGCTGGCAATAGGGCTGGAACTGGTTTGACTCAGTGGATAGAGCGTCCATCTGCGGACTGAAAGATCCTGGGTTTGATTCTGGTCAAGCGCATGTACATTGGTTGCGGGCACATCCCCAGTAGGGGGTGTGCAGGAAGCAGCCAATCAATGATTCTCTCTCATCGATGTTTCTAACTCTCTATCCCTCTCTCTTCCCCTCTGTAAAAAATCAATAAAATATATTAAAAAAAAGAAAAAAAGAAAACCCTTAAAGGCAGGTTATTGCTTTAACCTTAGAAACTGAGAACTCACTGGTTTTCCCAATGCCTTTGAATCAGAGACCACTGAAATCTAAGGTACACCCCAAGCAGTAATAAGAGCTTGAACAAGACTAAGGCCCCAAAGACAGTCAGGTTACACAGAGACTGGACACAGGTTTTAGCACATGTGGCAGTTTGCCTTTCCAACATCCCACTTTGAGCTATAATACAAGACTAAAATGTATTAAACATGCTCTGACCTTAACTTTTCTTTTCCTTTCAGGTTTTATATATACACATATAAAGAAAAAAGGAGGGGAAAGGCTAGGTATAAGGAAAAGGATCTTTTAACAGACATCCATAGGATAAACTTTCTATTCATCAATGATACGAGATTTTTAGAATGTTTAATTTCTGCCCTGACCAGTGTGGCTCAGTTGGTTGGGTGTCCTCCTGTGCACCAAAAGGTTGCCAATTTGATTCTCAGTCAGGGCAGATGCCCGAGTTGTGGGCTCAATCACTGGTAGGGGGTAGACAGGAGATAGACAATCAATGTTGATGTTTTGCTCTCACAGTGATGTTTCTCTCTCTCTAGAAAAATCAATAAAAAGCCTTTTAAAATGCTTAATTGCTTCTCTGCATCAATTTTGAGTAATAAGTTAGTGCTGTAGAAACCTCAAAGTGAATCAAGTGGCTCTGAATTTGTTTTTATCATTACAAACTCACAGAATGTTACATATTTGATAAGCTCCAATCCACTGTAGTCATTATTCCTTTTAATGCTCAAATGGTCCCTCCTTTGTTGAGTAGGAGCCCCGTCAAATCTGTTCTCTGACATTTCACATCAACAAACATCTATGAGTTTTTTTCCATTTCTGATATGACAAACTATCCCAGGTTCACGTTGGACATTCAAAGCACATAATCAATGGAATTTAGAGACCACAATCTGGATGATAAGGATGTTAACTGCTAACAGGTCACAGCTTCTAGGTCTTTTCAATGAAAGTGTCATTGAGTTTATAGAAAAAGGAAAGTGTCATGAGTTTATATTATATTTAAGATTGTAAGATTTAATTTAAATCCTTTGATTTAATACTTGTATCTTTTCTCACACTGAAAATTTTGGTTCCTAATGACATTAACAAGATCTTTAAAAATTTAAGTAAAATATTTACAAAATCAAAACTGTAGCCCTGGCCAGGTGGGTCAGTTGGTTGGAGCAATGGTTTAATTCCCAGTCAGGACATACACCTAGGTTGCAGGTTCATTCCCTGGTTGGGGTGCATATGGGAGGCAACCGATCAATGTTTCTCTCTCACATCGATGTTTTCGTTCTCTGATGTTTCTTTCTCTCAAATCAATAAAACATTGAGGATTAAAAACAACAACAATGAAACAGTATATTCAGAGGGGTTTAGTTTCCACTCTAGTCTCTCTCTCTCCCTGAATGGATAGCTGTTCTGACTGGTTTTTATTCTCATCTTCTATTGTTTCTTTGTGAAAATATAAGCAACTATGTATATATCTTGATATTTCCCCCCTTTGTGTGGCATACTAAACAAACTGTGTTGTATCTTGATTTTTATTTTTACTTGACAGTATAATCTGGACATGTCCACAGCAGCTTAGAGATCTTTCTCATTCCTTCTCATAGATGTTCTATGCAGCAGAACCACTGTTTATTCAAGTATTTCCTATTGAGGGGCATTTGGATTCTCTCCAACCTCTGGGTACAACATTAGTCAATGGCCAACCATAAAAGCTATGCAGAACTGAAAAAAACTAAGCCAGTCCTCTAGAAGTGTAAGTTGTTAGTACAGCTCATTGGCCACATATTTCTTCACTGAACTTGGGAAATCCCGGGAACTACCCTGTTTTCCCGAAAATAAGACAGTGTCTTACATTAATTTTGGCTCCCAAAGATGCTCTAGGTCTTATTTTCAGGGGATGTCTTATTTTTCCATGAAGAAGAATACGGTACACATTTATTGTTAAAAGAAAATAAAGGAGCCGGGACCGGTTTGGCTCAATGGATAGAGCGTCGGCTTGGAGACTGAAGGATCCCAGGTTCGATTCCGGTCAGGGGCATGTACCTTGGTTGCGGGCATATCCCCAATAGGGGGTGTGCAAGAGGCAGCTGATCGATGACTCTCTCTCATCGATGTTTCTAACTCTCTATCTCTCTCCCTTCCTCTCTGTATAAAATCAATAAAATATAAAAAAAAAAAAAAAAAAAAAAAAAAAAAAAAAAAAAAAGAAAATAAAGGAAATTTATTACCTGTATACGGTATGGTAGTACCGTAGTTGTCAACACAAACCAGACAAACTGTGAATCCCACAGTATCAAGAATTTACTCATTTATTCAATGTCATCATCTTCTGTAACATCATCATAACAATCCAATTCCTGAATTTCCTGGTAAATTTCTTGTGACTCCATTTCTTTCAGAATCAGTGGACCAAATCTCTCATGTTTAGCCTCCGGGGGGGGGGGGGCTTAATTTTTTTGGGGATGCCTTATATTTCACTCAGAAAGAAACCTATAAGTAGGTCTTATTTTCAGAGGATGTCTTATTTTTGGGGAAACACAGTAGCTATTCTTTTTGAATAATGATACTTAAAATTTCTCTGGCCACTTAACTTAGATCAGTATAAGTTAATATTTGCTGGATTAAGTAATTAGGTCTTAACCCTACAGTGCATAGATTAAGGTTTTATCAATTATAGTGTGGTGGGAGTATATGACCTGAGGACCTTTTATAAATAAAAGATCAGGAGAACTTGGATACTAAGATACAGGCCTGATACAGATACCTATGTGGTGACAGTATGGCAATTGCTGGCCAAGTCACCACAGTGGCACTCAAAGCACATCCCTCATAGGCCTCAGGAATCCCAACAGTGGACACTAAAGACACAAAATGAACGTGAAATCATTAGTTTATGCCAACAACAGGCTCTGGAGAAAGCAAGAGAATCCAGAAAAACTGAATACTGATCAGGTAAGAGGAAGGTGATAAATGCGGAGTTTTTAAGGTTTGAGAAGTAGTCAATAATAAAGTCTGATCACAAAAAAATATAAGACTGTAATGTCTACACTGCTTGACTATTATTTTAACTATGAGGAAATCTGATTTTGTGTTGTGTGCATGTTTTAAACAGATAAGGGCCATGCTGTCTGAAAGGAGCTGGAACCTTGAGGTTCTGAGATGTATACAACGGTATACAATGAGTTAAAACTGGTACTAATATCTGACTGCTTAAGGCTTAAGCAGACAAAAAATATTTGATACATGCAAAAACTAATATTTTGAAACTTTCTATGAAACAGGTGTGGGGCTGTAATAGGTGTTAAGTATTTGTGTAATAATTCAAAAACCTCTAAGTTTTATCATTTCCAGGATATTTCTTTTCTCAAATGGGATAAACTAAAAAAAAAGGATTATATTGGGATGTGCCTTAATCACTGATTTTGTTTATGAAAAGATGGTCTTGCTGGACCAGAGTGAAGGTATAAACATGGGATAATGGTGATACACCTAAAACAAAAATGATCAAAGATTCCCCAGCTCACATCAGATGGAAAGACACAAACTGAAAGTAAAGGAATAGAAAAAGACATTTCATGAAATGGATATACAGCTGAAACCGGTTTGGCTCAATGGATAGAGCGTCAGCCTGCCGACTGAAAGGTCCTGGGTTCGATTCCGGTCAAGGGCATGTACCTTGGTTGCGGGCACATCCCCAGTAGGGGGTATGTAAGAGACAGCTGATCGATGATTCTTTCTCATTGATATTTCTTTTCTTTTTTAAATATATTTTATTGATTTTTTTTACAGAGAGGAAGGGAGAGAGATAGAGAGCTAGAAACATCGATGAGAGAGAAACATCGATCAGCCTGGACTCCACACAGGCCAGGAGGAGACTTGATGCCAGCAGGAGGGAATTGGACTTCAGTGAGGACAGTACTAATGGGAACTGTGGTACTAGATGTTTTGGTTAACTGTAAGAACATTTTTGCTAGCCAGTGAGAAAGTCTAGGACTAAGTAAAGCTACATGTGCAAGGGAACAGGAGAGCAGAAAGAGAGGAACAGAGAAGACAAGAAGGAAATTGGTATGAAAACTTATTTTCCTGGTCCCCCCTATTAATGACCTTAATAACAGCTATAGCAGGGCCCCTCACCCTACTCTTACTCATGTAACTCATTGGACCCTGCTTCCTCTGCAGCCTGACAACCTTCAAACAGGATAGAATTCAGGCAGTAAAGCTCATGGTCCTACATACCCAGTATCAATCGATCCGGGAGGAGGAATGGGAGCAGCCAGAATCAACAATTTGATTCCCCGATAAGACCAGTGGGGAATGTTGTGGCCAGCAAGACCCTGAAGAGACAGGGCGCCAGATGGCCAGCAAGACCCTGTCAAGGCAGGGGTCCAGGGAAGGAATGAGCAACCAGACTCACAACAAAGAATGTAGCATGATACACTTTAGCTAAGCATAACTATTAGCCATAAAATAGTTTTGTTGCAAGGCTCAACCCCCAGGCAGGCACGTCCTGTTTCCAGTAGCCACGTGGCAGAACAAACAGACCAAACCAGGTCAAACAGAGACTGCTTAAGCTGAAAATAAGCCCCCACCCCAAGTGTTGTATAAACTTTAAATGTTACTGTACTAGTGGAATTTTTCTATAACTTATAACTGACCTTTCTTTGTTAAAACTTTAGCCAATTATAATCTGCCAGTATCCCTAAGATGGGGATAAAAGTAGCATGCTTAGAGTGGGTCAGGGCTCTCGTTGCTCATTGCTGTGTCAGTTGAGACGTGAGCCTAGACTTGAGTTTGTAATAAAGGCTTCCTAAATTCAAAAAAAAAAAAAAAAAAAAAAAAAAAAAACATCGATCAGCTGCCTCCTGCACACCCCTACCGGGACGTGCCCACAACCAATGTACATGCTCTTGACCGGAATTGAACCTGGGACCCTTCAGTCCGCAGACCGACGCTCTATCCACTGAACCAAACCGGTTTCAGCAACTCACACATTCTTAAAAATAAAATAATGTGTGGCAGATATATCCTTACCACAGAAAGAATGTTCACTTAAGATTTGAGCATTTCATTATATTTAAAATTTACTCAAAAAACCCCCAAAACAAACAAAACTGAACTCTAAATTAATGATATTCATGCAAAACTACAAAGAGAGATAGGTGTTGATGTCTCTACTGATTTTGAAATATAATGAAAATAGAATTGATGAACTGATGATGAATAGAGGGGTGTAGAGATGGTATATATGTGATAAACTATAAAATGTATAGACAGACTTGAGGGGCTTTTTTTTACCACTAGGTAAAATCTAGGTGACAGGTACCTAGGAGTTCAATGTAAAATTACCTTTCTAATTGCTTGAAATTTTTTGTAATAAAATATTAGAATAAAATAACAGTATATGAGACAGGGGTAAAGTTGTAAGAGACATTCATGTAGTAGAGACATCTAGAAGATGAAGTTTCTGTGAGCTTTCTATCCAGCAAAGAACAAAAATGGCGTGAGATTTTTCTACTAGCAGAGGTGGACAATGGCTAGCAGTCTTTCCCACACAAAATCAAACAGCTTAACAAAAAATATATTAGGGATGGTTACTCAACGATAGCTGGTTCCCACACTGGGCAACATTTGGTTGAGGACATCTCTGAGGGACCCTGAAGATCCCCGCCCCTCCAGCACTTCTCAATGACCAGGTGTACATTCCCAGGAAGCCACTTTCCTTCCAAATGAGCACCACTGCTTGCTCTGCCATCTAAGGACATAACTAGGGTTCACAACCTTCATCATGGGATGCAATTAGCAGTTCTCATATGTGTGTATTGATGGGTGAAAACATGGGACAAGGTGGTCTCTCAAGTCCTAAGCCATCATCTCTGATCAAGTAAAATATAGGTGACAGGTTTACAGGGAGACACGGAGTGGCGAATCTTTCCTCTCACTTACCTTCACTGGGGTCGGTGGGAACGGCACTTTCCTCTGGCCCCGCATGATCCTCCGTATTATGTCCTCCTTCTGGCTGAATCTGAGATAAGACATCAGGCTGATTCATGGCATAATCTAGGAATAAGAAGGGAAAGGGGGTATAAGAAAGAGATGTCAGAATGACAACTAATTACCATCAAAGTAAAACTGAAGTTTTCTTTCTTTTAATTTTTAACCCAGATTAAAGATTATTTTTTCCATTGATTTTTTTTTTTTAAGAGAGTGGAAAGAGTGGGGGGTGGAAGGTGTTGAGGGGATGGAGGTGGGGAAAAACATCGATGTGAGAGAAACACATCAATTGGTTGCCTCCCAGACCGGAGCAGGGGATTGAACTCGTGCTAACCACTGAGAAACTGGCCAAGGAGAGCTGAAGGCTTTGGGGTCCACAGGCCAAGCAGATTTCTTTTAAATTATAGATCTCTTCTCCCCATCCATTCACCTCCAACTATATCCATTAGGGAAATATTAAGAGGAGAGGTAACGTGTGGGAAAAGCACACAGGCTATTTTGGCACAGCCTACTTGCTATTTTCATTGAGTAAGAGTGATAGTGTGTCTCAAGGGGAGGAATCATGGCTCTCCCAAAGTGAAGGTTACCCACGGAAACCACTGCATAGCTCTGAGCTTCATTCACGGCCTATGTTTGGCACAAGGAGAAATTATATTTCCTATTTGGCAAGGGCGAACTGGATACCTGTGGCTTGGAAGCAAAATCTGAAGTGTGTAAGGACAGCATGAAAATGAGGACCCCTGGAGGAAAGGGACTGTTCTGAGACCTCCTGGGGCTGTTATCACCTACTCACAAGGTGCCAACTCAGCCTCACCCATAGAGATGAGAGACTCGTAGTTGCCCTTCATGATATTCCTGTAAAGTTCCTTTTGCCATTCTTCTAACTTTTCCCACTCTGGAGTGGAAAAGTAGATGGAAATATCATCAAATGTCACAGGCACCTGAAATTACAATGACACTGGGGTTAGTCTCTCCCACTGCAATTCATTCAATAAACCTATTCTAAGTGCCTTCTAGTTATAAAAAAAACTATGTGAGCTGCTGAAAGGTTACAGGAAAAAAAGTTAAGACACAGATCCAACCTCCAAGAGTTTACAATGTTTTCAAGGAGAAAGGTGATATAAGCTTCAAGGTTACAGTCACTCAGAGATAGGTAAAAATGAGAAACAGTATTAATTCACACAACATAACATATTCTGAATACTCACTAAGTACTAAGCCTATTCAAAGCACCAGAATTATAAAAATAAGCTTTCTGCTCAAAAGGAGTGCTTAACTGTATTCAAATTAATGACATGAACAAGAAATTTTGGGAATAGCTATACTGGGCTGTGGTGAGTCTAGAAGAGATAAGACTCTAACTAGTCTTAAAGGACATGTAGATTATAAATAGGCGAAAGCCACAAATTGCTCATTTTTACATCATTTTTAAAATATATATTTTTTATTGATTTCAGATAAGAAGGGAAAGGGAGAGAAACATCAATGAGGAGAATGTGTCATTGATCAGCTGCCTGCTACATGCCCCACAATGGGGATCAAGCCCACAATATCCAGGCATGTGCCCTGACTGGGAATTAAACTGCAACCTCCTAATTCATAGGTTGATGCTCAACCACTGAGCCATCCTCGCTGGGCTCATTTTTACATCTTGCTCAGCACCTAAAATTGGTCTTAGGGCAAATGTAAATACTCAATAGTTTATTTTAATCTAACCTCACTACACAAAAGATTTGTAATAGCTTATAATAAAAATACAGATGATAAAATAATGACAAAAGTAAAGGATCAGGATGGGCTTCTGGTTCAAGGTTTTGAACTAAGCACACATGTATTTCCCTTCCTTCTCAGAGTTCCACTGAAATGACAGTATGTAAGATCAAGAGGGACTGTATCTACAACAGCACCAAGAATGAGAAGGAAAGGCCATCACTAGATAAGAATTTTTTTATTTTTTAAAAATTTCTTTATTAATTAAGGTATTACATGTGTCCTTATTCCCCCATTATAGATCAGAATTCTTTAAAAAATATATATTTTATTGATTTTACACAGAGAGGAATTGAGAAGGATAGAGAGCTAGAAACATCAATGAGAGAGAAACATTGACCAGCTGCATCCTGCACACCCCCCACTGGGGCTATGCCTGCAACCAAGGTACATGCCCTTGACGGAATCGAACCTGGGACCTTTCAGTCAGCAGGCCGATGCTCTATCCACTGAGCCATGCCGGTTTAGGCTAGATCAGAATTCTTTTTTTTAAAATATATTTTATTGATTTTTTACAGAGAGGGAGAGAGAGAGAGAGTTAGAAACATGGATGAGAAAGAAACACCGATCAGCTGCCTCCTGCACACCTCCTATTGGGGATGTGCCCGCAACCAAGGTACATGCCCTTGACCGGAATCGAACCTGGGACCCTTCAGTCTGCAGGCCGACGCTCTATCCACTGAGCCAAACCGGTTTCGGTTAGATCAGAATTCTTGATGAGTTTCTTACTGAGACCTGGAGGACCGGCTCCTGCTGGGGTCTAAGATGCATGAGGAAGCGGACCTCCCTGCAGATGGGAAAGGACTGCAGATGAGGAACCCAGAGAATTCTAAGCTGAAAGCTGGCATGGAGTAGGAATCCAAGTGATGATAAACTGCAGTTTGAAGGTCTATCTTTAGAATAGTGGGCCCCCCATTGTCATCCTCATCAGCCTTGGCAGAGTGGGGTAGCAGCAGCCTTTACCACAAAACTGAAACCACAAACCTCCCCTGTAAAGAAATTTCCTCACCTGCCTGGAGACAGCATGGGATTCCTATGGGCTGACAACTGGTACCATCTTCCGCCTGGCGTCTGGGTGGTCCCTGCACTGCCTATTTACTCCCTGCCACAGAGCCTTAGAGTGAAGCCCATCTATATGGAGCACCTACAGACTTAACCCTGTCCTGCAAAGGGAAGACCCTTTGACTCAACAGATTTATGCAGTGGCTGAGAAGACATGCCAGCTTCCTATAATTAACCTATTAATCAATGGAATCCTCTACTTATAAATATGAATATGTAATCGAGGATTATGCAATATAAAAACCAATAGCACCAAGATGAGTAAATACAGCAAACCATTCTAGGGGGGGGGAAAAATCCAGTAAACTGAAAATCAAACAAACTCTTAACACACAGTCCCAGAGAAATTCAAACACATATTGCATCCTTTTAAAAAATTCAGGCTGTTTTTTAAAAAATATATTTTTATTGATTTTTTACAGAGAGGAAGAGAGAGAGAGCTAGAAACGTCGATGACAGAGAAACACCGACCAGCTGCCTCCTGCACACCTCCCACCGGGGATGTGCCCACAACCAACATACATGCCCTTGACTGGAATCAAACCTGGAACCTTTCAGTCCTCAGTCCAACGCTCTACCACTGAGCCAAACTGATTTGGGCTAAAAAGGACCAGAAAAATAAATTCTCTTGAAAAATACATAATTGTTCAAATAAAAATTAGAAAGGCTAGAAGGGAGGTCACAGAACTCTAAAAAAGTGAAAAGCATAAAGGGAGAAAAAAAATCTAAAATAATAAAAGCGTGTGTGCTAATTAGACTTGACGTCCTTCCGGATGAAGCTGAGGCTTCGAGGGAAGCTGGTGCTGGCAGCCGAGGGAAGGAAGGCCTACTTTTACATGAATTTCATGCATTGGGCCTCTAAAATATATATAAACCCTTCCCCTTTCTCTAGAAATCAATAAAAATGTTTAAAAAGAAAAACATGAAGGGAAAGTTAAAGTACAAATACAATAATCCATCACCTGTCAAATTAGTTCTACGATGAAAAAAGAAAAAAATGGGCAGGGGATGAAATATTATAAATATAGGCTCATAGAAGAAAACGTCCCAGACTTCTGAAAGGTCACAACAACTACCTATTACAAATTTAACAAAACCTACAAGCAGACATATCCTCAATAAACTAGAAAAACCAGTATGAATAGAAGATAAAAGCTTCTAGAGAGAAAACACACACACAGATACCTTACAAACAAATGAGAATTAACTGGGTAGTAAACTTTTCATCGATTGCATTTGATGTTGAGACAAAGAACCAATGCCTTTAAAATTCCGAGAAAAACTCAAAATGGATACAGGACTTAAACATCAGACAGGAAACCATAAAAATACTAGAAGCGTCCACAGGCAGCAAAATCTCAGACGTATGCCAAAAGAACTTCTTCACTGATACTGCCCCTAGGGCAATGGAAGCTAAAGAGAAAATAAACAAATGGGACTACATCAAAATAAAAAGCTTTTTTACAGCAAAAGAAACCATCAACAAAACAACAAGAAAGCCCATGGTGTGGGAGAACATATTTGCAAATAACACCACTGATAAAGATTTAATCTCCAACATCTACAGACAGCTGATACAACTAAATAAAAGGAAGATGAATGATCCAATTAAGAAATGGGCAATGGACCTAAATAGAATATTTTCAAAAGAAGACAGAAGGAAGGCCAAAAGGCACATGAAAACATGCTCAAAGTCACTAATTATCCGAGAGATGCAAATTAAAACAATGCAGTACCATCTCACACCTATCAGAATGGCCAACATCAACAAATCAACAAACGACAAGTGTTGGCGAGGTTGCGGAGAAAAAGGAACCCTCGTGCACTGCTGGTGGGAATGCAGACTGGTGCAACCACTGTGGAAAACAGTGTGGAGTTTCCTCAAAAAACTGAAAATGGAACTCCCAATTGACCCAGTAATCCCACTGCTAGGAATATATCCCAAGAAACTAGAAACACCAATCAGAAAGGATATATGCACCCCTATGTTCATAGCAGCACAAGCTACAATAGCCAGAATTTGGAAACAGACTAGGTGCCCGTCAGCAGATGATTGGATCCAAAAACTATGGTACATCTACACAATACTATGCTGCCATAAAAAAGAAGGAATTCTCATCATTTGCAGCAACCTGGATGAAATTGGAGAACATCATGCTGAGTGAAATAAGCCAATAATCAATGAAAGAGAAACACCACATGACCCCACTCATTTGTGGATAATAAAGATCATTATAAACTGATGAACCAAAAGATAGATATAGAGACAGTAAAACAACAAGCAGATTGTCAAATTAAAGCGGGGAGGGGAGGAGGATCTGGGGGAGATAATAGATCAACCGAAGGACTTGTATACATGCATATAAGTACAACCAATGGACATAAAACTCTGGGGAGGGAGGGGATGTGTGAGAGGGAGGGAGAGGGGCAAAAAAAAAAAAAAAAACAAAAACAATAAAATATGTAAAAATAAATAAATAAATGGTTAAAAAAATAATAAAATAAAATAAAATTCCGAGAAAAACTGAGTATTATTCAGACTTGTAAGAAGGAAGAAAATTCTGATATGCTATAACATGGATGAACCAGGAGATACTATGTTAGTGAAATGATCCAGTCACAAAAGGACAAATATTGTATGATTCACTTGTATGAGAGTCATTAAATTCACAGAATAATAGAGTAGAATGGTGGGTGGCAGGGAATGGGGAAAAGAGGAGACAGTGATTAATGGGAATATAGTTGTTTTTTAGTTTGGGAAGTTCTGGAGATGAATGGTGGCAGTTGCACAACAATGTAAATGTACTTAATGCCACTGAACTGTACACTTAAACATGGTTAAAATGGTAACTTTATGTATGGTTAACCACAATTTTAAAAATTAACAAGTTTTCCGAGGGACAATTATTTTGAACTTGGGATTCAAAAGGGCAGAATAAAAACATTTTCAACTAAGCAAGGACATACAATTTTACTTCCCATATACCAATCTAGTAAATCTGCAATATATATAATTTCATTAATAAATCTTTAGGAGAAATAACATTATTTAATATATGACTAGAGGCCCGATGCACAGAAATTCGTACAAAAGTAGCCTTCCTTCCCCCGGCTGCTGGCACCAGCTTCCCTCCGGCACCAGGTCCCGGGATGTTTCCCTCAGGCTGCCCACAGGCACGTGGACCCCGGCTGGCTTCTCTCTGGCCCCAGCTTTGTCAGGAAGCATGTCTGAAATGACGCCCAGTCTAATTAGCATATTACCCTTTTATTATTATAGAATTTAGAATTTAAGATGGACAGTTTAAATGTTACCCATTACCCAGGGAAGACAATAAGTAACTTTAACTTACCCTTTCTGCTATTCTTATGGCCAATGCTAAGTTTAAACTATTCAAAAGAACTTTTGGAGGGTCTCCGAATAAAAATAAAACACACTGTAGGGCCCTCGCCGGTTTGGCTCAGTGATAGAGCATCAGCCTGTGGACCAAAGGGTCCTGGGTTCGATTCCAGTCAGGGGCACATACCTTGGTTGCAGGCTCCTCCCTGGCCCAGGCCCTGGTCAGGGCTTGTGCAGGAGGCAACCGATTGGTGTGTTTCTCTCACATTGATATTTCTGACTTTCCTTCTCTTTTCCACTCTTGCTAAAAATCAATGGAAAAATATCCTTGGCTGAAGATTAACCAAAAAAAACAACACACACACACACACACACACACACACACACACACACACAAATAAAACACACTGTGGGGAAGGCTCTCCATCAGACACTGACTCTGAGATCCTCCCAAGTACCTCTTCTTTGAAAGAGTCAGTTACCGTCATTTTTTCCATTTCTCCCTTTGCCGTTCACTCTTCAACCTGTTCCATTCAGACTTCTATCTCCATCACCACAGAGACAACTCTTATCAAGGTCACCAGCCGATGTTGCCAAATCAGATCCTCATCTTTCTAGACCTTTCAGCAACATACTCAACTCAGATGGCAATTCTCTCCTAGAAACGCCTTTTCTCCTCGTCCTTGGGACTCCACAGGCTTCCGCTTTGTTCCCTTTCCTACTTCACGGCCACTCCTCACCCCTGGAGTTTTGTTCTCTTGCTTCTCTACTTTCTCTCCTGCGGTAACCACTCCAGGCTCGTGATTTATACTGCAATCTGTACATCAATAATTCCCAAGTATTTCTTACCTTTGAGCTTCAGAGACCACTTAATACCTCTCCTGAATGTGTCACAGGTATCCCAAACCTGCCAAAGGAGAACTCCTAACTCCTTCCTACCCCAAGACAGTCCCATCTCAGGAAATGTCAACATCATCCATCCAGTTCTCCAAGCCTAAGTGTCAGTGAACCTAAGGTCTCTATGAGCATATACTCTGGGCTAAATACAACTCCATTATTTATACCTAGTAACAACATGATCTTGGACATATAAGGGTTCTTACGAAAATGATGGAAACACTTAGAACAGCAAATTATTATTCTTAACTCCTCATTCTCTAATTCTCACCATTAAGCCCTATCATCAAAACATCCTCAATCTGTCCACTTGTCTCCAGCTCCATTACTGCTACCTTCATCCAAGCTACTCTCATCCCCTAAAATATTACAGCTGCCTTTTTTTCTCCATTTCTGTTCTTACTGCCATGATCCATTCTCCACAGAGCACCCAAAGCGATTCTTTCAAAATGTATACCAGATGTTCTCCTCTGTTTAAAACCCTTCTATTTATTCCCTTGAGTATTAAGGTAAAATCCAAATTCTTTACCTTGGTCTCCAATGCCCTAAACCTATGGTTCACAAATCTAACACATATTAGAATCAGTGATGGAGCTCTAAGAATTATTCGTGCTTAGGTCCCATTGGACCTATTAAATCTGAATCTCAAGGTGAGATGTCCATCTAAAATTTAAAACCATATAAGCGATGCCTATGTTGAAAAACTCTCTACTCGCTCTTCTACTCACGCTTCCGATTACTTGCTGCACACCTGCTAACTGGCCTTCTTACTCCCCCTGGGTATTCTTTTTGCCAGAAAGCTCTTCTTCAGAACTTCTCACAGTCGGGTCCTTCCTGTTAATGAGTCTCAGCCTAAATTTTAGATCCTTTATGAGACTGTCTCTGACAGCCAATCTAAAATAAACCATCGGATAGCACCTTCATTTTTGTCAAAGCACTTAAATATAATCATTTTCTTGTTTGTTTATATTAACTTTCTTTCTTTACTAAAATTTAAACTCCAGAAGAGTTTATAGGAATTGTTCATTGCTATGCCTTCAGGGAGCAGATGTCAAGCAAAAGAGTAAGTGTTCAGGAAATATTTGTTGAATGAATGAATAAATAAACAGGCATAGTTGGGAACAGGCTGCCTCAAGGCTGTCTTCCATAGCTTAAAAATGATGTTTATTTTCTTTTGTTTTAAAGGCTATTCCGTTCAGAAAGGCTGGGCTCCAGCACAGCAGAACACTTCTGTAAAGGAGCTGAAGGACAGAGTCCACATCAACCTTAGACCTACAAATCACCAGAAACCCTTACATTAACCATTTACTCTACGTCCCTTCCCTTGTCCTCCCTCTAACTTTTTCACCTGAATTGCCAATAAATTAAAATAGGCTGGTTTAATGATATTTAACCAAGGTTGTGGCAGACAGGTTAACAAAGAAAAAGTGACTTGGGTGTAATGAATAAAAGGAAGCAAAAGGGAAAAAATCAACCTGTCAGATTGCCAATTTTGTATTGGAAAGAGTTTTCCAATCTGAAGTTTGACACTTCAAATGATCTGCTAAATTTAGCGTGACATGCTTCCCAAATAGATAAACATAAAACAAGGTCAAGGTTCCCAAGACTATCCCTTACTAGGGACGGATGGTATCACTTTCCATCTAGATGTGAAGCACTACCTTTGGGATATCTCCTTTAACACCCGGGGGCAGCCGCAGGATCCAGAAGTTCCTGTTCCTCAGCAGGTTCTCCAAGTTCTCCAGCCGCCTCTGCAGCAGCCCGTACTCCTGCAGCAGGGTCCCCAGCACGGCCCACTTGCCATCCAGCTGGTTCCCGAGATCAGCCACTGTCTTTTCACAGCTGGCCATCTTCTTCTCTGTTGTCCCTGTCCGTCCTTCTAGATGCAGGAGCCGCCGGCTGTGCACCTCCACCTTTCTCTCTATAGCCTGCACAGCGGCCACCACTGTCCACAGGGAGATGGCTGCAGTCTGCAGGTGTGCCTCGTTTGCTCCCGGGGGTGTGGGGAGGGGAAGGGGCTGTAGGGACGTAAGGCATTCGGAATCCCATTCAGAAGTCTGTGTGCAGTGGAGAGATGAGACAAGGCACTGAGTGTTAGAAGAGGCCCTAATCCAAACTTAATCGAGATAAGAACTGCTTCACTGGCTATCTGAGGGTCATCTAAACATAGTTTGAGTACTGCCTGCATACCCCTCATCGTCAAGGAGCTCATCAGCATCAAAAGTCAAGAGAACTGCTTTGATGGGTCAGGGATGGATTAGGTCAAGACAGTGCGTGAAACTAGATCAAGAATCAGCCTGGCATATTCCCTAGATGTAAGGAACTTTAGCCAATTGTTCTCAGGCTCAAGGTTGCTGCTGCATTCTCTGTTAGTGGGAAAGGCCCACATGAAGTCCTACATACCCCAGGAACTTTCCAGGTCTCACCCAGTTCAGTGTGCTTACTGACTTGGGCTCTGGCCCTGTCCATCATCCTTCTTACAAACCACAACCATGTATCTGGAAGGTGTGGCTCAGTGGTTGAACCAGGAGGTTGTGGTTCGATTCTGGTCAGGGCATATGCCTGGGTTTCCGGCTGGATCCCCAGTGTGGGGGAAGGTGGGGCGGGGTGTGGGTGGCTTTGAACCAAGGTTCCCTCTCATTATTGATGTTTCTGTCTCTTTCTCTATTTGAAATTAATAAAAACATAGTTGTTTAAAAAAACAAAAAACTCATAACCATACTATTCAGTAATAGCTGAACAAGCTTTGAAAGTTGAGTCTAGAGAGTTATAAAACAGAATTGTTTAATGTTAATACTGTATTACTCCACAAGGCAGAACTAGAACAATATGGAATTTTTAGGCAGGCAAACTTTGGTCTATATAAGTAATTTTTGAACTAGATCTTCTAAGAAAGTAACAGGTTATCCCATCACTGAATGTACATTGAAACAGAATATTAAAAAAAAAATTCCTACAATAGGAGGTTGGATGAGCATGACTTCTACAAAGACTTCTGATGCCATGGTAACCAGCTCTATGGCCACAACCTCCCACTTCTTCAGCTCATGCCCTACCTTATTTTCATTTCACCTGCTCTGCATTCCCACTAAACCCTTGACCAGTCCATTTGCTGCTGGTTTATCAGACTGTTCCAAGCTTTGCTTTCCTCCTCAGCTGATCACTTCAGCCACTTTCAACCCTGTCTTTCTGCCTCACCTGCTAGGCTAACCTCCAGGCTTTAATCAGTCCTGAGAGTTCTCATTCTGTTTCTGCAAGCAGGCTGGTAGTCACCGAACCAGGTAAACTGGTGTCACCACACATCAACGGTCCCTAAGCTCAGCACCGACTCAACACTGCGTGGCAACCCCATACTGCTTTTCCCATTCCACGTGTGGCCACTACAACCCCCATGCCCTCTCCTTACACTTTAAAAAAAGCAAAAAACATTTTATTGATTTTTTTTACAGAGAGGAAGGTAGTTAGAAATATCAATGAGAGAGTCACTGATCAGCTACCTCTTGCACACCCCCTACTGGGGATGCGCCCGCAACCAAGGTACATGCCCTTGACCAGAATCAAACCTGGGACCCTTCAGTCTGCAGGCTGAAGCTTTATCCACTGAGCCAAACCGGTTTTGGCTCTCCTTACATTTTTTACTACAGCGATCCTCAAACTAATGTGCATAAGAATCATCTGGAGAGTTCATTGAAATGCAGGCTTTTATTTGGGAGGTCTGGGAGGAAGCTTGAGAATCTGCATTTTCACAAGCTCCCAGGTACAGCTGCTGCAGCAGGGCCAACCCCTCTCGCTCAGAGGACATAGAAAAAAATTAGGTAAAAACTCTCTGAACATTTTCCTTTTTCTTCACACCCATATGCACCTCAGACTCATTAATAACTTAACCCATGCTTTCTTTTTTCCTTCCCACAGGAAAAAGGTTCATCATATTTTAAACTAATCTCTCCACTTCATGCTTTGAATGCCAACTCCTTCCACTTTTTTGGGTACGTTCTACTACCCCCCCCCCAACATTTCTCCATAAGATAGACTTGCATTGTTCAATATGGTAGCCACCAATGGCTACTGGGCACTTGAAATGTGCTTATTTTGTTTACTATGTGCTGTGAGTATAAAACACACACACAGATTTTAAAGACTTAGTATTGGGGCGGGGGGGGGGGGGGAATGTGCAAAACTCGATCAATTCTTTACTTTTGACCACATTTTGAAACATTTCGTATGCACTGGGTTAAATAAAATGGATCATTAACTTCATTTATTTGTCTTTACTTTGTAAATGTGAATACTAGAAAATACCAAATGACACATGTGGCTTCCGCTGTATTTCCATTGGCCAGGGCTGGCACACACGTGCTCACCCCTCTACCATATGTTTTTAAACGATTGGAAAAAGAAAAGAAGATCCAAAAAGCAGAGATGGCATTCCCCTGTGCCCTATTCCCCACCTCAATGTTCCTGCTCCCTCTTTTTCCTCTGCTTTTCTCATTTCCCAGTCACTCCTCAATAGCCCAGCCTGGCTCCTGACCCACTGAGACTGCTCTCCTCGGGGGTGGGGACCAAAACCTTAGTTCGCAAATCCCAGGCGTATTTTTCGTCCCCGAGTAGCTTGTCTAGTCCCTGCTCCTTCTCCCTGGATGCTGGGTGCTGGGTGCTGAGTGGGTCGCCTGCAGCCCTAGCAGCAGGCGGAGAGCTTGGCGCCCCGGGCCCCGCGGTCAACGCCCCGAGAACAAACACGAAGGTGACCCGCCGGGGGCGCTGACGGAGAGGGGCCCTGCCGCGTGCTGGGCCCGGGGCTCCCTGTCCCCCCGCGTCTGTGGCTGTTCGAGGCTCGGGGGGGCTGCACCGAGGGAGGCTTTGTGAGGATGTGCGCGCCCAGAGTTATCGAATGGCCCATGGCAACGCCACAGGGAGCCCAGCGCCCTGCGTCCGGCCGGCTGCCGGGCTGACACCGAGGAAACAAACCTCCGCTGGGCTGGGAGCCGCGGGCCTGCCCCCGAGGGCGGCCTCCGGATGCCGGGGGAGGCGAGCCCGCCCAGACCCGACCCCCAGGCGCCGCCGCTCGGGCTGCGCCCCTGACAGGCCCCGGTTCCCGCCCTCCTCCATGCCCACGGGGCCGGCACCAGGGCCCGGGGCGCCCTTACCGGAGCTGGGGCCGCCTCGGCCATGGCTCTGCGCCGTCCGGCCCGGCCCGGGCCGCAGTCGTTCCGGTCGCCGCCGCCGCCGCTGCCGCGCGGACTCACACAGACGGCAACCGCTCGACCTGCCTTCCGCGCCCAGGCTCGCGCGGCCGTCGGGCCCGGCTGCGGGGGGCGCGGGGACGCGGCAGGGGCAGGGCCGCCGGCCTGAGGGGCTCGGGTGACGGGGAAGCTCGGCTGCTCTCGGCCCCCAGCGGCCCCGCAGCTGGCGCTCTGAGGGCACCGAGCGCACGCCGGGCACGGCCGCGGCCCAGACGCGCCGCCCGCCTTCCCACCCGCCGCGCAGCGCGCCCCCTGCCGGCCCGGCGGACACTCGCCCCGCGGCTGGACCGTCTGGGCTCCGGCGAGGTGGTTGCTCTAGGAACCTCGTGTGGCGTTTTCTCACACTCGGGAGCCTCCAAGGCTTGCAGCGTGGGGCGCAGCCGCAAACCAGAGCTCGTCAGGGGAGTGTTTTCTTGCTGAAGGCCCAATAAGCAGGCACCGCCTGCAAGGAGGCGGGAGGCAGCCCGATTCCGAAAGGCGGACAAAGGCGCAGCGCGGGAGCCCGGTGCCAGGGAGGGAGCCCGGTGCCAGGGAGACTGCTGGCTGGAATGGGTGGCACAGGGACGCACGGCTGTGAGCAGGAGGACGTGCATAAATTGCACATGTGGCAGCCAAGATGAAGTGGTTCACATCCCACGTGGCTTTTGAGGGTCAAAAGCTAGTGCACAGCTCTCCTTCCGGATCATTGAGGTTAAGGTTTGCTAGGTCCGAGGTGACTGACTGGAAGGAAGCACGTGTTCTCTGTGGAGGTCGTGAGTTTCCGGTTGACAACCACGTGACCAGGAGTTTCCAGTGAAGCCCTCATTTCACACGTGATCATGAGCACGAATCAGAGGCCACCTAAACCTGTATTTCAACAACCGAATCAAGTCACCGCTGTCCATAGCAAAGTGCATAAGTCACTAAAGTATGAGAACCGTCCTATTGGGGCACCTGTATCCTGAGCTATTTTTAGAAAATAGCTACACGTATAGCAGCATGTAAGTCGAATACACCTAAATATGCATTTTGGTCAAATGGAATGTTTGGCAATTAAAAATTGCAGTTCTCTGAATCAAACTATCACCATGACAGAATGAACTTCTAGGGGGGAAAAAAAGGAAAAAACCCTTTATTTTCTTGGGAAGGAAATTAATTTTTATAACTTTACTATTAAAAATGAGTTAAAATTTTTAAAGTTGACCTTCACGCAAAAACAGTAATTTCACAGCCCTGTCAACTGCTGGATACCTCTATTAAACAGGGACGTTACTAAAAAAGGTATTTTCAACTGAGCTTCTTTAGCCAGCAAGTGTAGTTCTGCCAATATAATATGGTAAAATTGATATCAATTTATTAAATTGACCTTCCTCTAATAGGAACTTAGGGTAAAAAGACTACTCCTTTTTAATTCTTAATCTTCAATTTTTTTTGGATGGTGATAGCATTTCAATGAAGCCATTTCACAAACTGAAATTTTGTGCACTTTCAAGAACATACATGTTTCCAGGAGTAGATTTAAGATTGTACTCATGCCCTAGCTGGTTTGGCTCAGTGGATAGAGCGACAGTCTGCAGATGTGCCCAAAACCAAGGTACCAGAATCGAACCCGGGACCTTTTAGTCCACAGGCAGACACTCTATACACTGAGCAAAACCGATTTTGGCTGGTCAATGATTTTTAGATTTACTTACATAACTTACAATTTCCTTATTTAGCTTTCCTTCTTATATTTCAGACCTCCCATCTGGGATCATTTTTCTTTTCTCCAAAGTATATATTTAATGTTTTCTTTAGTGAGGGTCTGTTGGTATAAACTCTCTGATCTTCGAATGTAGAGCAGTTTAGCTGGGAATAGAATTCAGAGTTAACAGTTGTTTCTCTCAACATATGTAATGTGCTATTGCACTATCTTTTGGCTTTCTTTGTAACTATTGAGAAGTCAACCAGGAGTCCAACTATTGTTCTTTTGTAAATGATCTCAGCTTCTCTCTGGCTACTTGCAAAGGTCAGAATCCTCAACCTCAGCCAGGAGTTCAAGTTCATATTAGAGAGCAGGGGCCAGGTAAGGGGACAGTGGGAAGATCAGAACAGTGGGATAAACACATCTGAGGAGAGCTGCCCTGCTCTGGGCAGGAAGGGCCTCCTCAGTTTCTTCACTCTTTGCAGGAAAACTAGAGATCAGATTCAGAAAAAGGAGAGGAAACTGGAACTCCTTTATGACCATTGAGACTAAAATGCTAGGGGGCACCCAGATTTGAACTGGGGACCTCTTGATCTGCAGTCAAATGCTCTACCCCTGAGCTATACCCCCTGCCATACCAGTGATGCCCAATAAACACCCTTTCCCTGTGTGGCCACACCCAGAGCTTCTGTACCAGATACTCCGTCCACATAGCTTGGCTGAGTTGCCAGACCTGCTTTATGCTAACTCACCTTTCCACATTAGAAGAAGCAACAGGTTCCCTCCTCCCACAGCTCCACAACCTCTCCACCTTCAGTCCCGAGAGAAGAGCAGTAATATGGGAGCCCTCCCTGACAGCTGGAAGGATCCACACTCACATCTACATGGTAGTCTTTGTGCAGAGCATCTGAAAACAGACTCAAAATGCCTCATGGCCTGACCAAGCATGGAGCACCTCAAAGAGAGAACATGATTGACTGGCTACAGATCAGAGCTCTCTGCCCAATGCTGACCCGTCCCTAGGCCTGAATCTCCATACAGTCAGCCCTTTAACTGCCGGGGGAGATGAACAAATGACAGTCCCCAAGCTCCGTGTCCATCTTTCTGTGCTCTGCTCTGGGATGCTGGGTTGGAGCCTCTGTAAACCAGGCTGTTCTTCGCCAGGTGGCTTCCTGGCTGGTCCTGCCAGCAGACCTGCAAAACGAGATGGAAGGTTGGAGCAAGAAGAAGCACTTGCTTTGGGTTCCTGTCAGTGTCACCTGGCAGCCACCATCCATCCAGTAGCAACAGTGATTGCCACACGCAGTGTGGCTCAGAGGGCCAGCTTCGTCATGACTCTTCAGGGACAGTAGCATCACCTTAGAGATCTGAGTCCCTGGTCCCCAGAGGTAATCCCCAAGCTGGTAAGACTTACCAAGTTTGTCCTCTTGTGTTTGTCCCGGCCCTGGAATGGTGGCTGCTTCTACAGAAAGTACTTCCCTTCCTGCCCCTTTATTTCGAATTCCTGGTTATTGTGTATTAAATTGTGCCCCTCAAAAGACATGCTGAATTTGTAGCATCCGTGCAGCCCCCTTGTGGAGGAATGTATCCTCAAAGATGGAATTATTTAAGATGAGATTCCCATGGTGTGGGTGAGCCCATAATCCAATGTGACTGGTGTCACAAGAAGAGAAGAGACATGCAGGCTGAAGACAACCAGGTGAAGACAGAGGTAGCAACTGAAATGATGCAGCAGCTACAAGCCAAGGAAGGCTCAGGATTGCCAACAAACACCGAAAGCTGGGAAGAGGCCAGGAGGGACCCTCCACTAGAGCCTTCAGAGAGGGCATGGCCTATCTGGCACCCAGATTTCAGGCTCTGGCATCCAGGACTGTGAGACAATAAATTTGTTGTTTATATCACCCACATGGTGGTACTTTATTACAGAAGCTACCGGAAACTGATATACTGGTTAACAAATATTTATATTAAATTCTGTTAAAAAAATAACTGGTTCAGTTTCTTTAAATTGAATCTATTGGGTGATATTGGCTAATAAAATCATATATATTTCAGGTGTACAATTTTATAATACATCAACAATATATTGAATAGTGTGTTCACCACCTCAAGTCAAGTCTCCTTCCATGACCATTTATTCCCCCTTTAACCTCTCCTACCTCCTTATCCCTCCAGGAATCATCATACTATTGTCTGTGTCTAGGGTGGTTTGTGTATGTGTGTGTCTCCTTAATTCCTTCACTTTTATCATCCATAACTGGCTCAGTTTTTTGTGTCTGGACTGGACCCTGGATGAGTCTTAACCCAGTATCATTGGAGTTCCAGGAAACAGACCCTCAAAGAAGGTATTGAGGATACATTTAGACTTGCCCTTGGTCTTCAAGGCTGTGCTTAGCACCTCCCTGGATTCCGAATAAGAAGGGATGGCCACAAACGTGCTGTTTCCTAGGCTCTCGCCAGTCTTCGCCTAGAAGCAGACTACAGTATGGCCTGCATAAAACTGGTTTTGCCCATTTAGATCAAACAGGAAAAGAGACTCTTAAAAAAGGGGGCACCCAGATTTGAACTGGGGACCTCTTGATCTGCAGTCAAATGCTCTACCCCTGAGCTATACCCCCTCTTATTAACAATACTGTTTAACCAATACTAATGTTCTTTACACTTCCATTCACACACAGGTTGTTGGTTCTGACTCAGCAGCAAGCCTGCTAGTCCTGTTCAACTGTGCATGCATTCTTCACACCATAATTATTCTTTTCCAAAAAGGTACCATCCCTTGTCGGCATCAGCTTGGAAGTGCTGTTAACTGAATGCTAAGGGTTCACTACGGTGGGTTCTCCATTTAAGAACCGGATGTGGCTGCCACAAGGCAGTTTTACATATTTGGATGGAGTAAAGAAGACCCAGGATTCATGTCCAATGCTCTGCTTTCTGGAGGCATTTAGTTAATTACATGTTGATTTCTTTTTGTTTTGTTCTTTTCTTTGCAGTTGGCTACTTCCATGTGGTTGAGTTCCTATCAACTCATCCTGTTTTATTGCTGCATCTGCAAAACACTATGCAGTATTTTAACATTTAGCAACAAATAATATTTAGAACTGCCCAGTTCCATTTGAGGCAGCACAGCCTGTACCTGGCTTGGTATATAAAACAGATGAAGCCGAAACCGGTTTGGCTCAGTGGATAGAGCGTCAGCCTGCAGACTGAAGGGTCCCGGGTTCGATTCTGGTCAAGGGCATATACCTTGGTTGCAGGCACATCCCCA